CACAGGTTTTAATCTGACAGGTGTGAAGGCGTGGAGAAGTGGCCCTGAATGCTCACTGTCTGTGTTCAGAGCTGTACACCTGCACCCATATGCTTGTCAAATTAGGACCTGCAGCATTTCCATAGTGTAACATAGGTTGCCTGCAAACAGCGATAGCCACAAAAACAAACCACTGATTCCCACTCTACAGGCCAAAGCACCCATGTGAATGAGCCCCAAGACCTCAATTACACACACAGCTTTATTTATGAACTCAGTACAGTTTTATAATTTAGATTTCACAGGAATATGGTTGTGATTGTGTCCATTAATAATGTTTTTAGTGTATTTTTACCATAAATATAATTTGGATATTTTCTCTGGTGGTGGGGTGCTGTCAGGTATGCTGTATGGGGCCCCGTGATATCTAACAGTGGCCCTGGGTGTATGCTTGTGTATGTGACACCTGTATAGTTAGGAAGAACAATAAGTTCTTCTATGGAATAGAATCACTTAGTAGGGTTATCTATCCACAAAACAGGCTGCAGATCAAAATATCAATATAAAAATACATACAGTGAAGTGTACCTGTGTGGCATACAACAGAGCATTGAACAGGGATGTGAAGGGGAACCCCATTGGCAACAATTATTAGCATTATGGGCACAATTCATTCCAGATTATCGCATGAGTTAAGGCAGTCACATGACCACATCTCACATGCAATACTGAAAATGTCAATTCACTTTTGCTAGTATGAGGGTGTTCCTATAAATCGGAAAAAAAAAAACTCAGGAAATCAAACATAAAAAGACCTTACACCACAGTCACATCAAAGCTGAGTTAGTAATCGTGAGACTTACAGTGAAGATGCTGATTTTCATGCGATTTGCAAGACATCTGACACAGATATCTATGCAAATCACCACAAAAGTAGTACATGTACTACTTTAGAAATCAGTGTCGGAAACGCACCCATGTGACTGCTCTAATAGCAGACAATAGGGTGCAACTTGGCATACGATTTGCAAGTCGCATGTCATGCAAATCACATGCCAAGTCGCACTCAATGTGACCTCTATTAGAGCGTTCATATTGGTGTGGTTCAAACTTGGTTGTAGCCGCAACAATTTATAAAGTAATGAATACAATACTTTTCATGTGATTTGCAGAGAGATCTGTGTCAGATGTCTTGCAAATCGCACTTTAAATCAGCATGTCCCATGACTTCAAAATCATGCGACTTCACTGTAAGTCACATGATGTGACCGTATTGTAAGTCACACCACTTCAAAATCTGCTTTGATGTGACCAGGGTGGCCTCCAGTCACATCAGGCACAATTTGGCATGCGATTTGCATGCCAGGCGACTTGCAAATCATAGGCCAAGTCACACCCTATTTTCCATTATAGGCTCCATTCACATCCAATCTGATTTTGAAATCGTGCGACTTCACTGTAAGTTGACCAATTTCCAAATCGGATTAGATGTGATTGTGGTGTTAGCCCCCAGTCAAAATGGGTGCAATTTGGCATGCAATTTGCAAGTTGCAGGACATGCAAATCGCATGCCAAGTTGCATCCAAGGTGCGCAATTTCAGGTGCGATTTGGGAATTGAAATTGTACCTGATATCAGATCTAATGAATATGGATGTGAGAGTCTTAACGTAAGCGATTTGCTGCAGCACAATTTCAAAAGTAGTTCTTGTCTAACTTTTTCAGCATTTTGTAGCGATTTCACATATAGACTACAATAGAAATCGCAATGCAAAACACAATGGAAAACGCAATAACTCATTGGTATATCTTCAGAAAACATGGTGACATTGCCAAACAAAAAGTACAATTTTAAATCGCATCTAGTGTGAACCAAGCAGGCAATTCAACAAAGGAAATACATTTTTGAAGGCATGCGGTATCTGCATGCTCTGATAAGGGTCTGTTATGGATTTGGGGGGGAGGACTCCATGCCATTATTTTTATTTTTTTTAAATTCCTTTCTCTCTCTCTCTTAGCTCTTGGCTTGACAAATCCTTCCCAAAAGGGGGTAGAGTGCAAACCAGCATTATCAAATCAACCATTAGTCCAGGCCCTTATCTCACCCTATCATTTGACATTCATATAAGGTGCAGCATTGAAGGTGTTTGAACAGACAAGGCCTCATTCTAATTCACATTCTAGGGATCATTTAGACAGAAGCAAAGATGCTGCCACCAGCACATGTATGTTAGGGTAGCCACCCAAGGAATCATGCAACTTCATTGCCGTGGTTGGGATTCAAACCAACAACCCTAGAATTGTGAGGCAGTAGTACTAACCACTAATCCATGGAGCTGTTGAACACTAAACCTGCCTGTATTTCTGTGGTGTGAATCAATCCTAGGTTCCTGGGCAAGGTCAGTGTAACTATCCAGATATCTGAAATGTGACACAAATGTTGTACTATGTTGCCAATTCAGATGTATGTTGGTTCTATGTATCCCAATACAAAGGATTGCAATACTAATACAGGTGTACCTCCGTTTACCAACACCTCGGTTAACGGAATTTTCGGTTTATGAAGGAAAATCCATTGAAAATAATGCCTCGGTGTACAAATTTTTTCATAATTTTTTGCACAATACGAAGTGTATGTCGGTGCTGATTTTTAAATGCAAATGCCAGCCTTTTTTTTTTCTTCACTACTGTATAGTTCACAAGCTTATGTATCACTTTCCCCGAAGTTATAGAAAACTTTGTATCTTTTAATAAACTAAAAGTAAACATTGTTTCCTTTAGGGAAATAAACTCAAAGAAAACTTTCTCTTTTAGCTGGGGGAAGTGACAACTGAATTTCTGAGCTATAGTGAAGGAAAAAAAAAGCCAGAATTACATTTAAAAACCAGCACCATAATAAATAAAAAAAAGGTGTGAGGTCCCCCCTCCCATCTATACCAAGCCCTTTGGGTCTGGTATGGATCTTAAGGTAAAGCCCCACCCCAAAATTATAAAAAAAAAAGGGTGTGGGGTCCCCCCTCCCATCCATACCAAGCCCTTCGGGGTCTGGTATGGATCATAAGGGGTAACTCCCCCCAAAGCACCTTGTCCCCATGTTAATTCTGATAAGCCCCCCGCCCGCAGACCCCCACAACCACCGGCCAGGGTTGTGGGGGTCTGCGGGCTGGGGGCTTATCAGAATCTGGAAGCCCCCTTTAACAAGGGGCCCCCCAGATCCCGCCCCTCCCTACGTGAATGAGTATGGGGTACATGGTACAGCTACTAATTCACAAAAAAAAAGTGTAGTGTAAAAAAAACACAGGACACGGTCTTTGACAAGTCCTTTAATAAAAGAAAGTCCCCCGAAGTAGATCCAACGTCAATCACGGTGCAAGGCGCCAGCGACCCGAAAATAGAAAGACAAAAAAAAAAAAGGTTCCGCTTCGGACAATGGCAGCCCAGCCTTCTGCTGTGAGCTTGGGTGACAGTTCTTAAATATATAAGAGGTAGGGCCAGCCGGGGACATCATCCCAGTGACCCTGCCCCATGTGACATCATTGATGTCACTTTTAAAGCGGAGTTCAACTTGTAAAAAAAAAGTCAACAGCTACAAAAACTGTAACTGCTGACTTTTAAAATACAGTCACTTACCTGTCCCTCGGTCCAGCGGTGTCCTCACCAAGGCTGGTTTCACCGGCCGTCTTCTCTCCCTTGCGCCAGCATCTTTAGTGTGGGCACCCGGCTGTGACAGCTTGTGGCTTCACAGACGTGTGCCTACTGTGCATGTGTGAGAAGCGCTGCGCTTTGTGAATGGCCCCGTAGTCTTCTGGGACTGACTGACTACGGGGAGGGAGGGGGGAGGACAACTTTCGTTTCTGATTGCCTGTCAAATTCAGGTACCCGTTCCCCCAAGGTGCCAATCCTTAATAGAGAACGGGGGACAAAGGCTTAAAATAGGAAATTTCCCTTTTGGGTGGAGCTCTGCTTTAAATGTCACCTATAGAAAAATTTTGGGTGCATTGGGTTTTTTTTGCGCTTCCATGGGTGCGTGATATTTTAAGACTTGGCATGTTTGGTATTTATTCACTCAATGCAACCCCATCTTTTATATTTAAAAACCCCCCAGAGTATTACATTGTATTTTTTCTGAAAATATGCGTTTGATCAATAACTGCACAAATATTGCGTGGCATAAAAAATTGTATCTATCACCATTTTATTCTCCGGGGTCTCAGTTTATCGAAATTATATATTTTTTAACAGTTTACGGTCCTTTCTAGTAAAAAATGCTGATTTTAACATGCAGAAAATAAAAAAAAAATTCCACTGGCAGGCAAGCGGTTAAGGCTGTATGTGTTTAGAGACATATGCCCAGGACGCGGGGCAGAATGCTGCACATGTGCCTCCTGAGCGCTTGAAAACGCCAGGATTTGGTGAACACGAGCAAAACATCCAGCTGGCATGCCGCCTAAGCATTAATAAATGACAAATGTCTAAAATGTGGGTAACCTCGATGGTTGGTGGAACTATAATAATAAAAACATGTCTACTATATCATCAGGAAGGCAGCCAGGGTCACTGTATATGTAACAACATGCAATAAGTCTCCAGCGCGCTTGTCAGCAATACAAAAACATGTTTATTTTTCAAGCCGTGCCCACGTGACTGAATCCCGAGCACTTCATTTTTGATACTGGCAGACCAGCTCTACTTAGACTTCAGATATCACCAGCTTGGAGAGCCTGTACTTCATTACATTTCCTTTAAGCAAACAAGCATAGCCTTCGATTTAGTATTATGCTAACACGCTTTACAGTATTATCACATAACGTGACACATTTTTTTTCCCTTAAAAAATATGGCTGCCCGCTCTCTCCCTCACAGGTCATCCCCCAGTGGGCGGGCCGCTGCCGCGCTAGAGGGCGGGTCCGTCCTCTAATATAAGGGGCAGGCTGCGAGCTGCTGCGTCAGATTGCTCGTTCGCGTTAGAGACTATTGGGTTGGCGCTTCAACAGTGATTGGACGGAACCCGCCATTGGACACCATGAACTCCCAGGTTCGCCAGAACTTCCACCAGGAGTGCGAGGCCGCCCTCAACCGGCAGGTCAACCTGGAGCTGTACGCCTCCTACGTCTACCTGTCTATGGTGAGTGTCTTGTGCCCCAGGGGGGCGGCGAAGGGCTCATAGCTGCCTTCAGTGTTCTCCCTGAGGGGGCTTCTGAGACTTGTAGTGCCACAGCAGCCGTAATGCTGGCCTCGTAGGGCTGTGTGGAGACAGCAGCCTTGTGGGCGGTGTGGAGGAGGTCTCCTGTCACATGGCCAAGGCTGAGGAGAAGATGGCACAAGGTTTGATGCTTTACAGCAGGGGTCGGCATCTGTGGCCTTCCAGCTGTTGTAGAACTACAAGTCCCATGATGCATTGCAAAACTGACAGTTACAAGCTTGACTCCCAAAGGCAAGAGGCATGATGGGACTTGTAGTTCACCAACAGCTGGAGGGCCACAGTTGCCCACCCCTGCTTTACAGTGTATGGTAGGAGGGATTCAAGTGATTGTAAAGGCAGGACCTGGTTTACTAGAATATATTCTCTGCATTGAGGTGAAGGCCCTGAAGTTGTCTCACCCTCCTACCTGTGTCCTATTGTGATCCAGCGCAGTGCCCATCTCCAGTGGTCCTCCCCTCTCTGTACAGGGGCCAGTGGCAGCTGTGCGAGTCATTGGCTCCTGCTGCTGTCCATCAAATCCTGTCAGAGGGGCTAAGCTGTGCTGTATGGACAGAGGGAGTACCCATATTTGACTGGTACCCTCCCACTTCTGCGATTGTCTAGGTGATCAGAAGCGGAAGTTGTCCTAACCCCCCCCCCCCCCCCCCCCCCCCCCCCCCCCCCCCCCCCCCCCCCCCCCCCCCCCCCCCCCTCCCCCCCCCCCCCCCCCCCCCCCCCCCCCCCCCCCCCCGTAGTCTTCTGGGACAGGTGCAGGTCCCAGAAGACTATGGGACCATTCACAAAGTGCTGCGCATCTCGCACATGTGGAGGAGGTCTCCTGTCACATGGCCAAGTCATGGCCATCCTGTGTGCTTATGGATGCCCACAGCCTGCTCTAGAACAATCCTGCATGTGTGCTCCTCATAGCAAGTGGCTTCATATGACAAAGTGGAGCCGAGAGCACTGGTAGGGGATCCTGGTAGAGGTTTAGGGCCGTTCAGTGCAATACTACTGCAACAGAGCAGGCAAGTGTGAACGCTTTTTTTTTTTTTTTTTTTTTTTTTTTTTTTTTTCTTCTTCTAGAAAATCTGTTTGTTTTTTTTTTCCTCTCTGGAAAATAACCATGCTATACTTGCTGTGTGCAGTGGCTTTGCACAGAGCAGCCTGGATCCTCCTCAGGTGTCCTGTAGGCTCTTCTGGCTCCTCCCTTCTGTCGGGTGCCCCCGCAGCAAGCAGCTTGCTATGGGGGCACATGCTGCTCTGTCCATTCACCCATGCAGCCATGGCTTGGCCGTGCCCCCCTCGCTTTCCTCCTTGGCCGACTGGTTGATTGACAGCAGTGGGAGCCATTGGCTCCTGTTTGCTGTCTTTGCCAATGAGGAGGCAGAGACCCGGGACAGCTGAGGCTGTCGTGCATATCGGTGGATCGTGATGGGGATCAGGGAAGTGTTTGGGGCTGCTGCACACAGGTTTTTACCTTCCTGCATAGAATGCACAAAGGTAAACCTTCAGCCTTTACAGCCACTTCAACATGTTACAATGCTGTAAAGCTGATCTGTGCTCAACAATCCTTGTGGGGCTTACCTGCACTACAAGGGTTAAATGCTTGAAGGTTAGATTTGCGTCACCCACCTTCTAAATGCTCCCCCAGCACTGCATCCACTGTAGTAAAAGCTGCAATTTAAATCCTTTTTGCCTAATTTTTTATATGGTCAGGTGACTAATCTCAATTTATGGAGGACACTTTCACACTGATCCATAGAAAAACTCGCATGCGGTTTCACTGTTTTTTTTTTTTTTTTTTTTTCCTGCATTTGTGGTTTTACACACTGGACATGTGAATCAAATGCTACTTTTTTTCACGTGCTTTTGCTGCATTTTCCATGCATTTCAATGGGGAGGTTTTTTGGTGCGGTTTTTCTACTGCACCAAACATGCAGCAAGCAGGATTTTACTAAACGCTGCTAACTCGCAACAGATCAGTGTGCAGAGTTCCATAGGATTACATGGTCACACTTTTTTATTCTGTGTTGGCGTTAAAGTGGAAAATAGATCAGTGTGACAGCAGCCTAATGTGCAGGAAAGACCTTGGTGCTGACTTCCATAAAGCACTGATGTCCTCCACTGGTCAAGGTGCCGTTGGAGCTTGGTCATGTGACCACATTAAAAAAGCGTATTTAAATTGACATATGCTACAGTGTATACAGCATTTACATGGGTTGTTCTATAGCTTACACCTAAAGAAGTTTGGCATTTTAAAAAAAAGAAAGTGCTCATCTTTGCTGCCCAGTCTGTGATGCAGTTCTCACACATCAGCTTTAGGACATTAAACTGATTGGCTGCTTATCGCTCGGTTCTTGGTCTGAGGGTGGCGTGAGTTAGTCATCACTTTTAACTGTTTCTCCAGCACTCACTGAAACTCCAAGTAGGAGAAAGTGCAGTTGTCTGTGCCAGCTGTCGGGCAGCCAGGACGAAACTGACAACATTGTTAGGATCCTGGAGTGGCTCTGCCCCATCAGCTGACTGTCAGCTGCCTCTTGGACAGATGAGCAAAAGTGCACTACTGTGACCAAGGAGGTATGGCCCAAGAGAGCCTTGACCATGCTACTTAAAGCGGAGCTCCACCCAAAGGCTGAAGTTCCACTTTAAGCCTTTGTCCCCTGCTCCCCATTAAGGATGGACAGAGGGGGTACCCAAATTTGACTGGTACCCTCCCACTTCTGCGATTGTCTAGGCGATCAGAAGCGGATGTTGTCCTAATCCCCCCCCCCCCCCCCCGTAGTCTTCTGGGACACATGACAGGTCCCAGAAGACTAGGGGACCATTCACAAAGTGTGCTGCGCTTCTCGCACATGCGCAGTGGGCACCTGGCTGTGAAGCCACAAGCTGTCACAGCCGGATGCCCCCACACAGAAGATGCTGGTGCCAGGAAGGGAAGATGGCTTGAGAAACCAGCGGTGGGGAGGACACCACTAGACCGAGGGACAGGTAAGTGTGTATTAAAGTCAGCAGCTACAGTATTTGTAGCTGCTGACTTTTATTATTTTTTTTTAGTGGAATTCCGCTTTAAGTCCAGGGGTAGGGGGGAATGCTGTAATGTTTGCCTTTTGCCCTCCTGGCATTCTAATCTGCTCAAAGTTGTGGGTGGCCTATCGATGTTCTTGCATACAATGTAGGTCTTGGTCCGGCATTGTACTTGAAAGGGCTTTTGGAAATCAGCCAGATTGTGGGGAATCTGCAGGAGCAAGGAATAAGATGAGCATTATTGGCTCTGGGGGACAAACCCTTACTGTGGGGCTCCCCCTTAATTGATGCTTTTTGCATATGGGGAACCTAGAAGGCACCTGTACTTGTCTTTGCGCTGCAATCTTCCTCCCATCTTCATATCTGTCCCTGACACTGCTCCATCAGTCACACTGATGTCATTGTGTATAATGGAGCATGGGAGGTCCTGTGTTGCAAACGAGGGCTCACCCCCATTGTGGGAGCATCAGGGAGGTAGAGAACACCAGCTGCTTGGGAAGTGAGGGATAAGGTATCTGTAGTTGCCTTTTCTACCTACATCCACAAGCTGTTCCTGCTAGGTAGAATGAGCCCTGCAATGCTGGGGAATCACACTATAAGGCGTTTTTTATTTATTTTTTCCCCTGATGTCCAGCTTGGTTTTTCGTGCTGCTTTTAGTAATTTGATCAACCTGCCTGACATGGCTCTTAACATGACCACATCTGTTATCAGATTCCTGGGTTTCCTGCATTTAGTTCTTGGCAGAACAAGATTCTCCAATCCGATTGTAAGGACTTGGTTAGCTTTACAATCCAGGTGGGATTTTTGCAGCTAGTTCTATGCCAGGCTGCTCCTAAGAGGTCTGTGTAGTAATGGATCCAAGAGACCAGCATGTTGGGAGTGTTCCTTGGAGATCTGGTAATTCAGCAATGCAGTCTTCCCTTGTGTGTCCAGGATATTGTCCTTGTGTACATTTAGTGCTTTCTGTGTGAGTGCTTTAATGGTGTGCCAAGTGATTTAACCTCTTGCAGACTGAATTGTCTGTGCGTTTACAACCCATTTTAAGTCAACGTGCTGTAGTGGTCAATGGGGAAAACTTAGCTAGCCAGAGATGGTACAGGATCACCTTCACTTTACTGCTCTGCAGGGTTTGGGTTGAAAAATGTCCCACTCATCTACAGTAGTCCTCAGTTTTAAGTGCTGGGGTTTGACAGGCATATTTATAGGTCTCTTCATGCCACAATAAGACGATCCATTGTTTCCAATATCCTGTTTCACACCACTGCATTATGCTGGTGTATGCGGAGTGAAAATGTAACCTGCTACATTTAAATGTTCAAAGTGACGCAGCATGCATTAGGCAAAATGTGTAATTTCCTGCTTGGAGGGGAAGAAACCACATCAATGCTTGCCATTAAACGCATGTCGGTGGGCACTGAATGCAAACATGAAGCATCCAGCTTGCCCTGTTTGGTTTAGTAGAATCTAACTACACTTTCTAGAGATGGGGATTTCAGGGTGGTGTGTGCCTAAGAAAATACATGGGGTTGATTTACTAAAACTGGAGTGCAAAATCCGGTACAGCTGTGAACGGTAGCCAATCAGCTTCTGACTTCAGCTTGCTCAATTAAACTGACGAGGGGGGGGGGGGGGGGAGCAGTTTGGTTTCAATGCAGAGCTGCACCACATTTTGCATTCTCCAGTTTCAGTAAAGTCAACCCCAAGATGTCGTCCATGATCCTGCCTGTGAAGGAGGGTCTGCATATTGCCTTTGATGCAAATTGGTTAATACTGATGTTGGACGTCTTTATATCAACCACCCTCCTCCATGGAACATGTTTTGCTTGTACTGACATGTGAGCTCATCGGACAAGTTACTTGCACCTTGCTCCCCCAGTAACTAGTCTTATCTCCTAGTCCCATGTTGCAATATGAGGTCCATTTTGATATCGTAATCACACAGGTGTTTAACGAACCTGATTAGGTGAAGGGTGTTTGCTAATCTAATATGTCCAGTAGTGGTTTATAAAATGGCACGAGGCCAGGGTAACATTTCCTTTACTTCAAGGAACCTAAATGATTTTCTGCATTTGTATAAAACGCTTGTATTTTGTAGCTATAGCTTCCATGTAAAGATATTGTTTGCAAACACCTAGAAAAGTGATTTGTAATGGTGCAGTCAGCATAAGGCCTTGGAGTAGTATATGCCATTGTGATGCAGGGCCGGAGTCTGGATACCTAGTGTATAGGACCTCAAACTTGTATACTACAGACACATGGCATAAAAACATTAAACTATTGCCTGAAGACGAAGTGCATATTTACAAACAAAGGCAATGCCTGTCAGACTGGGGTGTGTAGTTTGTTCTTGATTTGTTTTTTTTTCTTCAAACATTTTATTAGAATTATAACAGAGAACAAGGCATTAACAGCAGGTAATGAACATTACATTGACATAAAGATATTGGGGAGAAACATGGACACTGTCGATGAGAGAGAGATAGATATAGATGGATGGATGGGCAGAACTGCACAACTTATGATTTCAGGAAAACAAAATTATGAACGAAAGGTATTAACATATTGCAAAGAGAGTGAACAGTGGGGGTAATGACTCTCCCTAGCTGCATGGAAAGTTAGGGGCGAACAGAGCAGGGGAGGGGAATGGGGGTAAAATGTTTTGTTTGTTTTTCATAAAGTATTGAACCTAATTTGTCTACATGTCTAAAAGGACGTCTGTTGCTTGAAGATTGAAAGCTGAGCATAAAAAGTATCAAGTGTGGCTAAGTCTGTCACTTGTCCTGCATGGTGCACAAGATTAAATACAATAGCAGCCTGCTTTGTAGTAGTTGTGTTTGATACAGAGCTGTCTAAAGAGCAGATCATAGTACAGAAGTGTGTAATATTGGTTACACTATGCTCTGACTGCCTCGTGGCAGATTCTGACACAAAGACGCTCTGACCTCTAAGAGGGTATGTATATGATGGGTGGGTCCAGCTCCCACGTGGGATGCATGAATGGTAAGATCTGCTCATTGTAGCACCCTCTGGTGAGCAGAATGCAGCACTGAGTGCCTACAAGTCCTGTATGTGCAAGTATGACAGCATGGTCTGTTTACACAAATGCGGTCTCTTAAAAGAAAAGAACATGTTTACTTCCATCCTATCAGTGTGTAATTTTGACATCTGGATGTTCAAAAGTCCTCAGATTGGCTCCGTGCTTAATATTAAAAGATCTATGGCTGGGTGATTATTTTGGGTGTACACATTTCAGATTGTGGGTAAAGGTAAAGAGTTCTGTTGGTTTTAGGATGTCTGGCTGAAGGGTTACTGGAATGGAAACACAAGCAGCTGTCTTTGAAAAGATATTGCATAGTTACATATACTTCAGTGAATGCATGGTCTTGTTACTTCTGCTTGGCTAGTGTACCCATCACTGCTGCTTAACTTGGTGCTAACATGACAGGTCATTGTTCTAAAATGGCAAAAGGTGTTAATATGGCTAGGGATACTGTTTTTGAAGAATGGGAAGGCTTCGCTCATATGAGTGCTAATGCCTATGCCTGGGGAGTTCTATTTTCGCTCAGGTGTTTCTTGCATCCCTGTGCAGACAGGTTTTCTGTACCCCTACACCTGAGCTGGGGAGGACAATGACCTTAGGGGGGCATCTTATAGCAGTGTTAATATAGCTGTATTGATGACCATTGGGATGTTGTGGTTGCATGGACACACATCTCCCAGTCTGACATCTATGTGGATGCACAGCCCTGAATGCACACTGTTTCATTACAACAACAAAACCTTTTTTCAGCCTGAATTCTCAAGATATTGCACTAAATGCACTCCCTTCATCTGATCTCATTTTGAGAATATTGAGCAGTTGGCCACTGGAATTTCCACTTTTACTCCTTAAACATAACTAAGTGGAGTCCTATTCATATGGGATCTATATGTAGAAATTATCTGGTGTCAGCTGACTGCATAGTGAGAGCTGAAATCTTTATTTTGGGGTCTTTAAGAACACCTGCAGTGACTTGGTTTACCCAAAACTGAAATTCAAGTGAGTGTAAAAGGCGTAAGACTAATTTTACCCAAATTTGCTGTGGAGAACAGGACATAAATGGTAAAGGCCTACAATTTTAATTTCTGATCAAAGGTTTCCAGTTCATGTATTAGAACTTCACTTGCATTGACTGGTAAAATGCTGGACAGAGGTAACAGTTTTCTGATTACTGTCAGAACATGAGTTGCATTGTAATTTACAGCAAGACTCCTTTTAGGCTCTGTGCACACTGGTGTTTAGCTGTGGGTGGAGAACAGAGGCCTGGATGCTGGCAGCTGCTGTGGCTGGACCCTGCACCTAGCTGTACAAACATTTTGTCCCAGGGGATGAATGCAAATGATGGTTTTCTGGTCATTTTGTTCCTGGTGCATATTACCCTAAAGGTTTATACTGCTAGGTACCCCATCCAGTTGCAGTAACTGTCAGCCCCTCTGTTGGGCTGAGTGGGGCACCTGTGACCTTCCACTACAGCTACAAGCCAGAACCTGTGCACTGAGGCTAAACACCCTGTATATGGGGCCTTAAAGTGGTTGTAGAGGCTCAAGGTTTATTACCTTCATGTATTATATGTAAACCTTTCTGTGCAGCATTCCCCCCCATACTCTTCTAAGCCCCTTCTTGATCCAGCAATGTGCACTGGAGTCTTGGCTATCCCAGGACTCCCTCTCCTCATTGGTTGAGGCAGGAGCCATTAGCTCCCTCTGCTGTCAATCACTGCCAATGAGAAGGGGGGTGGGGCCGAGCTGCAGCTCCGTCTGAGTCGACACATGGAGGAGCAGCTGGGGAGTTTGCATGCTCGGGTGCCCCCATAGCACATTGCTTGCCGTGGGGGCACCTGACAGGTGGGAGGGGCCAGAAGCACACCACTACACGCATCAGGCAAGTATAGACCTTTAATTTTTTTTTTAAGTAAAGCCCTTTAGAGTTGCTTAAATTCTGTGGGAACTGGCGGTCTATTGGCCAGGATGAATTTTCACTTACTGCTATATTGTGATTTGAGCAGTTCGAAGTCCAGGCCAGCCCCTTCCCACATCATGGATTCTAGTGATAACCTAGATTAAAGTGTGTTTTAGAACTGCACAGCAGGCTACTGTACTTGAAGGGCCAATTAAAGCATCAAGTCTGCTTTTCCAGGTATGGGGTTATTGGGGAAAGCTTCCCTCAATTCCCAGTCTGTGAAATGGGACCTGCATACCAGACACTTGGTCATCCACGCATGTCAGATGTACTGTTAATAAATTAATCTGCCATTTCCAACTCCTGAAAATGTTGTCCTTGCCAAATATATTATCCCTGAAGGTGCGTGATTGGAAAGGGCCTACAGACATACAAACTTCCCCCAGTCATTTTGTAAATTGGCACCATTGGAATGCTTGGGAACCTTTCTGCTGAAGAGGTATGGGAGCCATGCTTATGCTGGACTGTCTACTGTGGTCACAGTATGTATTCAGGTTTCAAGTCTCCAGCGGTCCTCAAGCATCTGTACAATGTGCAGGTGCCTTTAGCTGGTTGTGGCAACAATTGTTTAGGCTGGCTACACTTTTTTTTTTTTTTTTTTTTTTTTTTTTAAACCAGCTTGGTTTTGATCAATGTATGGCCAGCTTTAGATGAATGATTGGTGCACTTAAAAGGCACTTTCAGTTAAACTTTGGCTGTGTGTTACACTTTGATGTGCATGGCTCATTTGTCCTGTTTTTTTTTTTTTTTTTTTTGTTTGTTGTTTTTCTCCAGTCTTATTACTTTGACCGTGATGATGTGGCACTGAAGAACTTTGCAAAATATTTCCTGCACCAGTCCCATGAAGAACGTGAGCATGCAGAGAAACTTATGAAGATGCAGAACCAACGTGGAGGGAGGATATTTTTGCAGGATGTGAAGGTAAGAAGGCTGTCTGCAGACAAGCAAAGGTTTTTCTAACCTGTCCACTATACTGTATTAAAACCAGAAATGTATCCCTCCCTGTAAATCAAGCAATGAAAGCAGACCTGAATGCAAAGTTTAAAGGCAACATCCAAAAATATTAATGGTTCTGGACTAGTACCCAGAAAGATTTACTTTTTTTGTATTCCTCAAGGCCTCATTCAAGTCACCTGTACTGTATGCATGTGGCATTTGTTTTCACATCTACCCTGAGATGCTTGCAGGCAATCAATACAAGTGGATGTAGTTTCATCAGCTGTACACGTCAATACTTGACAGGTGTGCAGGAGTGGGTGCATATCCACAAACGTGCTGTCTGCAGTCCAAACTGCACCTGCTCCTACCCATGTTGAATTGTAACATTAAATGTCTGTTCAGCTGCTGCATCCATCTGTCCCAAACGGTTTGCACACAGTTTGGGACAGATGTAAAGTTTCATCCTATTGGTATGAGGCCAAAAAATAGCAGTGCACTTTCTGGTATGAGTGCCTGCTCAATACTGCGCATATACAGCCTCATAGCTGTATATCTGCTGCCGTGTGAGATCCAAAGCAGTGCTGTCTGACTGCTAGTCTTGGATTTGGTGCTGACAATGCCTTTTTCCCGAGTCATCTTCTAGGACAGCTCACTTGAGAGATAGGGGCCTCCCAGGAAACACCCGCTCCACCTTTTTTTCCCCTTATAGGCGTCCTCTCTCCCATTGGCCCCCAGTTTTAGTGTTTCCTCCGGCCAGGAAGGAGCTACGCCCGTTTTTTATTTTTGTCTGGGCTCTCTGGCGGAGTACAGAGGGTCCCTGGCTGAGGCCCCCCCCTTCCTCCAAGCGAGGCAGGGGCCTTGTGAGGGGGGGACCTTTCAGCCAGTTTCACGCTAGAATGCCCGTTGTAGGGTGGGGGCGTCGGCCCCAGATGGTCCCAGCGGGGCTCTCCAGGGGGGTAGAGCCCGCTCCGCCGACCGAGGCATTGGTGCCTTTCCCTGCGGGGTTTCAGGTAAGTCTTACCTGCTCCTGGATCCCGGCAGCATGGCCAGGAGGCTCGGCTGCGGAGGGTCTGGACGCTGCGATCGCGTCACTTCCGGGCGCCGGGTGTCGTCACTTCCGGCGCAGGAGCAGGGAACGGCCGCCGCCATCTTGGAAATGGGCGGCGACCGTGGAAGAAGGAACCCGTGCCACGGCCGCTTCTCCACCGGCGGCCGTGAGAGGGGGGTCGGCGGGGGGGGGCGGAGCCCACCAGCCCCTGAAAAACCGCCGCACCGAGGCAGAGTCTGCGGCAGCATGGAGGCAGATCTGTCAGGAGCGGGGGAGGCCTGCAGTAAGGTAAGGGCCTTTGTTTGGCAACTCTCTTTTGTTTTTACCCCCCTCCCCCCCCCCCCCCCCCCCCCCCCCCCCCCCCCCCCCCCCGGGATGATTGGGTACCCCCCACGCACGCACAGCCCCCCTCTCCCCCCCCAGGCCCACGGCTGGAGCTTTCACAGTGGCACAGGGGGGGAGGCGTTGCTGTTACGAACGCGTGTATCTCCTTGTCCCCAGATGGGCCCACAGGAGGAGGCCCAGGGTGGATAAATCAATGATTTAAAAAAAATGGGATTTTTTTGGGTTAAATGGGATTTTTTTTTTTAAAATGCTTTTTGAGGAAAATAAATTACCATCCAAAGATTATTCCATCATGAAATGATTAGTTTTTTTAATTATGTAGAATAAGGCTGTATATGTTTAATTTTTTTGATAAATAAATTCCATTAATCCATTCACAATGTCATGCTCTTCCAGAGGTTTTTGTAAGATTATTGGGCAGTTTCTCTGCCTACAAGATATTATCACAGATGCTTGGTTTACTTTTGCAGTTCTCAAAACTGAATTTGACTCAGCAGAGATCACATGCCTCTTCTTCACAACAAAAATGTTTATAACATGAACAGAGTTAAGAAAAAGACCTTAATCCTAACTTTATGTTGAATAAATCTATTTAAATTGTTGTTAAGGTAATGATGATTTTTCTCCTTCCTAAGTACAACAGAAAAGTTGTCCAAATATGAATGATTAACCTATTAAACTGGGGATAAAAAAACTAATATGAAAAGTTGTTCTAAAAATCTTCATCTACTTGCATATTAAAGTTATACCAGCAAGAATTAGTCTTTATGTAGAAAACTAGGATTTAAATCAAGCCTTACTGACTAGTGTTTTAAATCAGTTTGATTTAAATCAAATCCACCCTGCAGAGTACGCATGATAAGTTTGTAATGGCAAACACATCAGCTGCAGGGAGCCTGCATGCAATACTGGTGCTTTTAAAAGATGTACCCAAACAAGGGCAGAATTAAATTTTTAATACTTGCCGGACCCTCAACAAGAAGTTCAGCGAGCACCTCTGCTGCATGGTATGGCCAGAGCCCTGTTGCAGGAGCTTAGCTTGGTGAAGTACATGTCTTCTGATTGGACAAAGCAGAAGTGCTGGCACCTTTCAGAATCCTCCCAGTGTTAGGATAGCATTGTGTTATGCAGTAGAGCAGCCTGACTGGCTTATACAATTTGCTCAATTTTCCTCCCTGTTTGGCGTGCAGGCTGGTGACTGTTTTGCCAGGCAGTGAGATACTGTCAGTGTCAAGTTATTGCTATCTTGTATTCCTGTTTTGGGTGAAGTTTCAGAGGAATTTCCAGTCTTGGTGACATTTGCTACTGAGGGGGAAATCTACCCAGCTGGGTCTTAAATGCATAACTGGTAACTACCCTTTAGTAAACACATGTCTAGAGTTCACCTCAAACTGACATTTAAGGATAATCTAACTTGACTCAAATGAGTTTGCTGTGTAATCAAATGCTGCAGCCAACCTTATGCAACAAATGAATGTTGGCATATGGCTATAGAAACTACCTGTGAACCTGAATTATGACCTTTAGGTACAAAAATCTTGGTGACTGAGCAAAACATTTTAGCCCACATTAATTAAAAGGTGCAGCACAATGTTGCCTAACATGGGTGCATTGTCTAGACATTGTTGGCTGTCATATACCAGTGATGACTAGCATTCTAGACTTACAGGATCATACAAATGAATCGAACTTGTGCTTGTCTGGCTGATTTTTGGCTCCAGGGATCAGATGTTGCAGATGAAGTCAAAGGTGTGCAGGTTTAAAGAAAACTACAAACTGTAATTGCAAATGGCAATTTAAAGTAATTGGTTTAAGTATAGGCAGGTACAAGACTGTTTAATCATGGTTTCCAAAAAACCTACATTTTTATATGTATAAATGCATTCTGTAGCCAGTATGAATAACAGATTGTCATATAATTAAAGCAGTCCTTTCATGGAGACATTTGGGTTATTGAAGGCACTCTTCACAGTGGATGTGGGAAGCTGTATATTTTCAGGGGTTTCCATGTCTGATCCAATCATTACTACATTTTCAATTTAATTGCGTACTAAAATAGAATGTAAATGTGGGCTTTTATAGTGGTGGGGAAGGCCAACCAGCACATTGATGGAACAATACTGCCTGCTTGCTGATCTTTGATATTAAAGCTGTGTGAAGCTTGTTTTTTTTTTTTTAATACACATTCTACTTGCCTGCTCTGTGAAATGGTTTTGCACAGGACAGCCCTGATCCTCTTCTTGGGTCTCTGGATGGTGCTCCTGACTCCTCCCCATGACCAGTGCCCCACCCATAGTAAGCTGCTTGCTATGGGGGCACTGATGTGTGCTTGCTCTGGAGATTCACTCTTACCATCAGTAAGACAGAGCCGCTGCGCAGTCCCACGCCACGCTATCCTTGTTGGCTCACTGGCTGTGATAGCAGTGGGAGCCAATGACTACCACTGTTTCAGCCAATGAGACCCAGGACAGCTCAACCTCTCATGCACATCAGTGCATCAAGAGGGCACTCAGGGGAGTATTTGTGGGCTGTGGGGGGAGCAGTGCATAGAAGGGTATTTGCCTTCATGCATAGAGTGCACAAACCTATAAAAAACCCTTTAGCCTTTGCAGCCACTTTAACTGCACTGACATCTCTTGTAGATTGTGAATAATGTTGGTTTTAGGAAGGATTTTCCCTAAGGTTCACTTAACCACTTGCCTACAGGGCACTTATACCCCCTTTGTGCCCAGGCCAATTTTCAGCTTTCAGCGCTGTCGCACTTTGACAATTGTGCGGTCATGCAACATTGTACCCATATTAAATTTTTTTTTTCACACAGCTTTCTTTTGGTGGTATTTAATTGCCACTGGTTGTTTCTTGCACTATAAACAAAGAGCAAACATTTGAAATTTTATTTTTGTTTCTATTAAATTTTGCAAACAGGTAATTTTTCTTTACTGATGTGTTGATGCTGCACTGGGGGGGGGGGGTGATCAGTGCCCTCTTGGATCAGTGCTGATCTCCACTGACAGCTGCCAGTTATCGGCAGTATTTTCCTCATGCTGTGACAGCTTGAGGAAAGTGCTGCGATAACCGGCAACTGTATTTACTCTGTGATCTGCTGTGTCATTGGACACAGATGATCACATGGTAAAAGGCTGCTGTGATTGGCATTTTACCTTCATCACGTGATCAGCTGTGTCTGTAGGACATAGCGATCACGGAGATTGTCTGGTGCGTGCCCCTGGGGGCACACGGGAGGGCGTGTTCTGGGATGACATATGACTCCCTCCAGAACTGGGTATCTGTTCTGTAGCTGTCATTCGGCTATAGCGTGGTTACCAAGTGGTTAAACACTTTCTTGAAAGGTCGTTGATGGCATAGATTTCCAAACAATATATAGATTTAATTTCCTTTTTATTCTAAATATAAACAAGATTCAGAATGTATGTAGCTGTCTCATTGACAACAAAATAATCATTGCTGTGACGTTAGATGAATTTTTTGATTCTTTTGTTGTCTATGGCATGCAGTGGGTCTTGGAATGTGCAGCCAGTGTGGTTACAGGGCAGCAGGCAGCCAGTATGTGCTGTGTCTGCAGTAATGAAATATCATCTTTGGTGGATTTGGCCTTTTTAAACAATTTCCTTTATGCCAACATTTAAAAATGGTGGTTCCTAAAGACTTTCCAGTAAATACAGTGTTATAAAACAGATGAATTTAGGGTGTTTTTGTTGCCTGCGGCATGCACTGCATGTCTGACATGCCTTTTTGGAGGTAGCTGTGAAACTAATCCAAGTGGGATTTTATCTTTGTTTTCCATTCTGCTTTTTATATATATATATATATTTTTTTTTTTTTTAAACTTATGTCAGTGTGAGCTGCTTTTCAGACTTGTTACAGCAGGTTGAGCTGAAGACCAGCGTCGGGTTGTCGGATACTTTAACCTCTACTTGTTCAGACTTTCCATAATCTGAGTATACCAGGATCAGATGGATGTGGCAATTTAACTGAATCTGCAGGAATTCTTACTTAGATTTTTTTGTTTCCTAAAGCTGAGGTCCAGTCTCCTGTGACAGTCAGCAGCTCCAAAAACTGTGGCTGCTGACTAAAAAAAGTGGTGTGCTCCCCAGTGCCAGTATCTTAACTGTGGGAATCCAGCGGTTGCAGCTTCACAGCCAGGTGCCCATTGCGCATGCTTGAGCAGTGCTGCGCATTGTGAGTGATTCCATAATCTACTGGGACCTGTCATGTCTCCCAGAAGACTGGGGGGGGAGGGAGAATAGAACTTCCGCTCTGACTGCCTAGGTGATCAGAAGTAGGAGAGTACCTGTCAAAATTGGGTACCCACTCTCCAAAGCTGCCCATAACTGGGAGCGGTAAACAAGTCTTTAAAGTGGAACTTCCACTTTTGGGTGGGGCTCTGCTTTAGTATAGATGTAGCTGTTATCGGACATAATGGCTTAAACCAATGTTTTCTAAGTCTTTATTTCTGAATTGTAGAAGCCAGATCGTGATGAGTGGGGCAGTGGTTTTGAGGCTCTTGAATGTGCTCTGCAGCTGGAGAAAAGTGTCAACCAGTCCCTTTTGGAACTGCACAAATTGGCTACAGATCGCAACGACCCTCATGTGAGTACACAAATTCAGGTGATATGTATAGTTTTGGCTTGTGTTGTGAGAGGAATGTTCTTGACAAAAGCAGGAAGCAAATACCTAACAACTCCCCTAAAAATTGCAGCATTCAGTATGGGCTTTTCCTACCCTTCTGTGCTCGTGACATGAATCGAAGAAACCGCAAACCCAAATGCTCCTGTGCTTAGGGATGTCCTCAGTGTAGACTAGGACCACATCATGAATGTCCTGAAATATGCACACCTTGCTGCCCTCAAAGGACTGGGGAAGTCCAAATGTACTGAATGGAGAAAAGAACAGAGGGTGCACCGTCCAGTGCTTTACCTTAAAAGAATATATTTAATGAATGATAAAAGTAGGTATTGTACTCGGACAGTATAGTCAAAGGCACATCATGAAAGAACAGCTGCCAAAACCTTTCTGTCTGCAATGGGGATTCTGGACATCGAACAGGCTAATGTGTTTTGAGGACCTGCTGCTTCCTCAGAGTGGCTGAGGAAGAGGAAAGTCCTTGAAACGCGTTAGCCTGTTGGATGTCCAGAATCCCCTATGCGGACACGCGTAGTGCGGTTTTGACAGTGCTGTTTCATGATGTGCCTTTGACTATACTGTCAGAGTACAATACCTACTTTTATCCATTAAATACATGAATTAGAAGGGCTGGGAAGACCATCCTTTGCATTAAGTAGGTAGTGAGCTCATGGCACTTCCATAAGAGAAGAGCTTCAGTGGATTCACTGTTAAGAAAAGTTTAACACTTTCATTTCTGCTCAGTTTAAATGTTTGGTTTTTTTTTTTTTCCTGCAGCTTTGTGACTTTTTGGAAACTCATTACTTGGATGAGCAAGTGAAATCAATAAAGGAGTTGGGTGATCATGTGACCAACCTGCGCAGGATGGGAGCCCCACAAAATGGCATGGCTGAATACCTCTTTGACAAACACACATTAGGAGAGTCCCACGACTGAGCTTTGTTCTGCTTCCTGCCCTCTACTTTATCTATTCTGTTTATTTGTGAAATCTATAGTTCTGTTTCTCTGCTATATTTTTGACACTAATAAAATGTATAAGGATTCCTGTAGTGGTCAAGATGTCTGTATGGATAACCGTACTATAGAAATGCATAAATGGAATGTAAAGATTACATCACTAAAAGCCTGTACATGTAAAGGTTGGGTAGTAAGCTGTCTTATCGTGGGTTTGACATGCTTTTATGGAGCAAGGGAATGTTTCCACAGATGAGATCTGAAGCCCAAAAGGTACCAGCCATGGTTTATTCACTTGGATTTTGTATTATGCATTGCTAATGTTTTCTGTTACATGCAGAAAATGTTTATGGAGTATACTAGGGACCTATTAAAAAAAAAAAAAAAAAAAAAAAAAAAAAAAAAATGCCATCCAACTTTCTGTGCAGTAGGATACAGCTCAGTTGTGCTTAGCTATACTTATACTCTTTATCAGTCCTACTCTATTATAGATGAACCAGGTCAGTGATTGCCACACATGTACTACCCTCAGAAAATAGTCAGCCCTGACTGAAGGCCTATACTAGTAATCTGAAGTTGTGTATATGCAAATTACATTATCAAAACCACTTAAATGCAGATTCCCCTCAAGCATGTATGCTCACATTTACAACAGAACAGTACAAGCCCTTTTTAGATGGACACCTTCCTAAAGCAAAATCTAGATAATGTTTGGATGATTTGAGCACAGGTTTTATGGCTTTTTGACAAACCACGTAAACTTTAGTAGATTTATCTCTATTCTCTCTAATATAAACATTTTTAATGACAACTTTTCTGAGGGATGCACATATGTTAAGATTTGTCTACAACCTAGCAAATTGTCTGCTTTAGCTGTGCAAGGGTAGTTTTGATTTAAATGGGACATTACTGGCAAAAACTGCTGGGTGTACCATACTTCTGTTAACACATCCAAAGATGAATTGTGGCTAATTTATTGGTATGTGTTGGTGAGTTTGGTCATTGGGTCCTTAGACAGATAAATAGCCTGTTTTTGCATGCTGCTATGCTGAGACCGTTTTTTAATCAAAGCTAATAAAGGAGATGTTTGCAAAGACTTCGGCTTCCATTTTCTTGAAGTGTATCTCCAATCTGACAAATGTTCTGTAAAATGGAGACAGGCTTATGCTCCAGGTGCAGTGGTTACACCCAACTATTGGATCCCAGCCAAATTTCTGAAACCACCCAATATGTTTTTTTTGATTTTTGGGCTGGATTCACACAGGATGGGTTTTGACAATTTACACACAGCACAGGTGATCATATAAAAAAAATAAGCATGTCTTAACATAGTGGGTTCCATCAAGATATCAGTTTTTGGAAGCTGATAAGCATTTATGCCTATGTTCACTTGCTTTCCTGAAATGCACATACAGCGAAGCTGGAACTATTTAAGCCATTGGATCAACCAGGAAGCTAGACACCTATGTACGTCTGCAGTGGAAGCGACCGGTTTTCTCCTTGGGGCCAGTTTACCTTTAAGAACATGTTGAATGTTCCACCTGCTTTAGGGTGTAACATGTTCCTGCTGTGCCTATTCCCAGCCAAATGGGGGGGGGGAAATATTCCTTGCAGAGGGGCTGTGCCTACCCCCACCCTGGGGGCAACAGTAAAAGATGCTTATCTGAGTAGGCAATGGTTTACCCTTGTTTGTAGAGCAGATTGCTCTAGTGTTTAAAATTTCTCTAGAAGCCTTTTACTTAAATTCCCTGAGCATATGCACTTGCATGAGAAGCTGACTAAAGCACGTGTGAAAATAAAAAAAATAAAAAAAATCTGCATGACCTTAGAGGGACTGTGACTTTTTGGAAATAACTACAAATGTTATCCAGATCCAAGCGTAAGTGGCCCTTTTTATGCTTCCACTCCCTTGACCTCCACATCAAGCCAATCTACCTGCAAGGTTTGGCATTGAAAGACTGCCACAACCTTCAGACTAGTACACACTACTAATGTGAATAATAAAGATTGTTGTGCTTTCCCAATATATCAAGTACTTGAAAACCAGATCATATCAGAATACATATCAAATTGTCACACCAAAAAAGTCCATAATAAGATGTGTATCTTAAATTGACGAGTTAAAACTCAGTCCTTCTGTATCACCTTGTGATTCTTGTTTGTGTAGTGATACCCACCACCTTTTACCACTGTGCTCACATTAAAAGATGGACCTGTCAATATAAGGTCTTATACTGCCTTTTCTTTTTTTTCTTAAGACGTTCTTGACTACTTCCACATGCCAACAGCACTATTCCTATGCTTGTACAGTGAATATATGAAAAGTCTATATACCCCTGTTAAAATGTCATGTTTCTGTTATGTGAAAAAATGAGACCAATCATTCTAGAACTTTTTCCACTTTTGATTTAACCTATAAACTACAACTCAGTTGAACAAGAAACTCATATTTTAGGTGAAGGGGTAAAAAAAAATAAACTATGGCTGCGTAAGTGTGTACACCCTTGAATTACTACTTTCTTGAAACACTTTGATTTTAATATAGCACTCTTTTTGGGTACAAGTCTCAGCATGGCACATCTTGACATTTGCCTTCTCTTCCTTACAAAAACACTCCAAATCCGTTAGATTGCAAGGGCATCTCCTATGCACAGCCTTCTTCAGATCACCCAACAGACTTTTAATTGGATTGAGGTCTGGGCTCTGGCTGGGCCATGCCAAAACTTTACCCATCTTCTGGTGAAGGCATTCCTTTTATTTGGATGTATGTTTTGGTCATTGTCATGCTGAAAGATGAAGTTCCTCCATGTTCAACTTTCTAGCAGAAGCATGAAGGTTTTGTGCCAATATTCATTGGTATTTGGAACTGTTCATAATTCCCTCTTCCTTGACTAAGGCCCCAGGTCCAGCTGAAGAAAAACAGCCCTAAAGTATGATGCTGCCACCACCATGCCTCACTGCGGGTACGGTGTTCTTTTGGTGATGTGCAGTGTATCTTTTGGAATTATGTCAAAAAATAGTTCAACTTTAGTTTCATCAGACCACAACACATTTTCCTGCATGCTTTTGGGAGACTTCAGATGGGTTTGCAAAATTTAGCTGGGCTTGGATGCCTTTCTTAAAAGGCTTCTGTCTTGCAACTCTACCCCATAGCCCAAACATGAAGAAAATGGGAGGTTGTTGTCACATGTACCACACAGCCAGCACTTGCCAGATATTCCTGCAGCTCCTTTAATGTTGCTGTAGGCATCTTGGCAGCCTCCCAGACCAGTTTTCTTCTCATCAATTTTGAAGGGATGTCCAGTTCTTGGTGATGTCACTGTTGCACCATATTTTTTCCACTTTGACTGTTCTTCACTCTTCCATGGTATATCTAATGCTTTGGAAATTTTTTACCCTTCTCCTGCCCTACCTTTTTAACAATGAGATTAATCTGATGCTTTGGAAGCTCTCTGCGGACCATGGCTTTTGTTGTTGGATGCAACTAAGAATGTCAAAGACTTACTAGAACAGCTGACCTTTATTTGGGGGGTTAATCAGAAGCACTTTAAATGATTGCAGGTGTGTACTGACTCTTTAACATGATTTTGAATCTGCTTAATTCTGAACACTGCTACATCCCCAGTTATAAGCGGGTGTGCACACTTATGCAGCCACATTCCTTTAGGTTTACTTCCCCCTTAAAAGATTTCAGTTTGTTTGTCAATTAAATTGTACAGTTTATAGGTCACATTAAAGGTGGAAAAAGTTCTGAAATGATTTACATTTTGGTTTTTTTTTTAAACATCACAGGAACCTGACATTTTAACAGGTGTGTAGACTTTTTATATCCACTGTATATGGGATGTATCTGTCCCAAAGGATGTGGTGATCTGGCCCCTTAAATACAAATCCCCTCTCCTGTGTTATGCTTGCATAGAATAGAAATATACCATAGTGCAGTATATTTAGAACTTTTATTAAATGAATTGTACTTAAGAAAAAAGTTAAAATGCAGGCATTGCATACAGACAGTGGGGCCATGGCTCCTGTGTCCCTTCCAGTTATGGCAATTCTGATTCTTGGCTCTGCCTGGATGTGACATCACGTGACTTCCTCAGTAGGCCCACCCCACCAGAACACTCCGGTTAGGGCTCTGAATGGGAGCTGATTGGCCAACCTTTTTTTGGTCATGCTGGCCTGGCTGCCAAACACAGGCTGAATGTTGGGTGGCATCGACTGGTTCAATAGAAATCATCCAACAGTTTGGCCCTTATGTACTAGGATTTAGACAAGCCTACATTAAGGTGTGCCCCTAGTTTTCTGGGTGGGTGCGGTGTTTTATCCAAGTCTTTTGCAGAGACTTGGATAGCTTGTATCTCAAATGACTGGGAACAAGCAGTGATATCCCAGGACTACAAGTGGGAGTTTTACTCCCTGCCTCCCTCCTCAGCAGACCTCCATGTTACTACCAAGTCATCCCTAAATAATCATCAGTGGAACAAATGCCACACCTTGGGGAAAAAGTGCTAGAGTGTGGAGGCTGTGTATATTTGATACACAACCGTATGCATTGGGTTATACAGTAGTTGCTAAATCAACATTTCAGATAAAATATTTATATTTTGGCAAGGACATGCCATCTTTTTCAATAGAACATAAGGGCAAGCATCTCTTGAGCTTAGGACATTTAATAAACATCTATAAGATGTAAGTTCATTTTACTACTGTGTATCTTTTTGATTATCTACATGGACAGATCTACTGTTCACTTTTTACCTCTTCTTCTGAGGGCTCACCAGCCTCCATTATAACCTCCATAAGCTGTGTAAAGTCTCCCTCAGCTAGACTGATGCCTGAGTCCTTGGGAGAGGAACACTGTGTTCCTTGCTGCTCTTTGCTACTTCCATCAGAGATTGCATCTCCCAGCCCAGAAATTCTGGTTGCCCTTTGCAAACTTGGGGAATTTGCTGGAGAAAATGAAAAAATGGGACGAGATGTCT